AGGTGCCAGTCTCATCCTCTTGATCCTCCCACACGGTTCTGGCGAGCTAAGAAAATGTTTGTCTCCCTGAGTTCAGCCTTCATAATTCCATTCCATCATATTACCACAGCTATCTGTATCTAAATAACAAGTGAGAATACAAGATTCTGGGTAATTTATAACATTTGCATTCTGATTCAAAAACTAGCAATTCAGATCAAAGATTTGTTGGCTTTATGTGGGCATATGGGCATTTTATAAACTCAGTACTTCAAATCAGATGGACAGTTAAAGTTGGATCAAACTGACGATCTGAATCAAAATTAAAACAGATCTTGCCATATTCACACATCCCTATTAAACATTGTCTTTGTATATTTGTATTGTTAAGGAACACAAAACATAAAGCAAACAAAGCTTTCATCTGAATTGCTAGTTTTTGAAAATCAGAATGCAAATGTTACAAATTACCCAGAATCTTGTATTCTCATTTGTTATTTAGATACAGATAGCTGTGGTAAGGTGGTACTTAGAACCCTCCCCTCCTCCCCACACACATTCCTTTATATCAGCGCACACAGAATATTGATGTTGATTGCCTATGGACAAAAGTCCATCAAATTGCTGAAGTGATTTGAAGATTTGATTTGACTGAATTCCCTTTGAACAGAACTTTTAAATAAAAACTTCATAGGAATATTTACAGCCCAATTTACAGCAGATTCTGCCTCCAGTGGCCCATGCAATAAATGCAGTTCTTAAAACTTGTAGAACAGGCATAATTTGTACTAAAGAATACTTTGGGTATTATACAAATCCAGAAGCCTCTTCCCATAAACAAAATCAAGCAAAGAAAGCATTTACTGTTGAAGCACACAATCATACATCACTATTGCCACGTCCTTGTATTACAAGATGGAGTAAGAATACGAGCTCTACAGAGGAGTTGCAGTGATGTGCTAAAAGGCGTGCTAATACCTGCTTACCTTCTGCTAAAAGTATCTGCTTGTCTTTCTACCCTGGGAATAACCTAGAAGCAGAAGAAACAGAGAACAAGAATCAGGTTTTTTGCATGTTCAATAATTATGAAGAAAAGGAAATGTTAGCAAGTATTGTTTCTCCCACCCAAGCCCCAGCCGAAGAGACTTTGATTGTGGGGGATGGGGTGGGAATCTTAGCTGCAAAGAGCAAATGGGTATAGGGAAGTCACATCACAATAGGATCACAAAATTATGTATGCGGGAGGCTAGATCTGGACTAGAATCCTGTGCCCAGCTGAAATGGACTCTTTAGTAAATATTTTGAAAGATGAAAACTCTCAAAGGTTAAAAATGGACAGAAAGGTCTTCAGCTTCTCTGATTTGGAAGATATTACCTGGTTCTCACATTTCACATTCTACTACTATGAAGATAGTTTCCTATCCTCAGCTCCCCAACACTTTATGACTCCTCAGCACCAACTTCCCTGATGTCCGGAACTGAATGGAGAAACTTGGAAGTTTCCAGTTCCAAGGTAGTGTACACACCTAGGCTTTAACAGTGGCACATAAACTGACACCCAAAATTTTGGGTGGTGGCCCCAAATATCACTAAAAATGGTTACCAAAGTATACTTATTTATGTTGGCCTGGGGAATAATCATGTTAACTGTATTTAGTTTTCATTAAATGTAATTGAAAATAAAATGAAATCAAAATTAACTTTTGCCTTGGTTATACATAATATATTTTGGAAGGTAACCCATGGCATTCCAGTCAAAGATTGGCCCTGAGACTTAAAATGTTGGGTAGCCTTACCCTCTGTAGATATCTTGATATGCACTTGGTATGTAAACATTGAAAGATTGAAGGCAAAAGGAGAAGAGGACGGCAGAGGATGAGATGGTTAGATAGCATC